GTTAGGACTGGTTGGTGACTCAGGGATAAACAGTTTGTTAGGACTGGTGGGGGACTCAGGGATAAACAGTTTGTTAGGACTGGGGGGGGACCAGGGATAAACAGTTTGTTAGGACTGGTGGGGGACTCAGGGATAAACAGTTTGTTAGGACTGGGGGGGGACCCAAAGCAGTTTTTAGGATTTGGGGGGACTCAGGGATAAACAGTTTGTTAGGACTGGCGGGGGACTCAGGGATAAATTGTGTGTTAGGACTGGTGGGGGACTCAGGAGATCAACAGTTTGTTAGGACTGGTGGGTGACTCAGGGATAAACAGTTTGTTAGGACTGGTGGGGGACTCAGGGACAAACAGTTTGTTAGGATTTGGGGGGGAACTCAGGAAATCAATATTTGGTTATAACTGATGGGAGCCACATAGAATGAATAATTATTATAACTGGTGGGGGACTCGATTGGTTAACTAGGTCTAACTGTAAGGCACACATTACTTGCAGTAAATACTGTATATCAAATCACAGTCTGCTAATGTTAGAGATACATTGACTCTACCTTCACCTTCACGAGGCACTCCCACTAGTGTAAAATGAGCTGTGATGGCCGAGTGGTTAAGGCGTTGGACTCGAAATCCAATGGGGTCTCCCTGCACAGGTTCGAATCCTGTTCACAGCGTTATTCTTTTGGCTGAACTTTTATTGTTATTTTTGTCTGAGGATATTCTAATAATAAACAGATACTAAGAGCACACTGTGTAAATATTCCCAAACATGCATTATATATTTTCATACATTTCCATATAGCCCATGGATCTGGCAGATTATAGTGATTGACAGAATCTTACATTATATATCATTTAATACTTTTCTAATGAACAGCCAGCCATCTGACATGTTACAATAAATAGTGCTAATCTCTCATTTGGCATTTCCAGCCATCCTTCACATTCCACTGTCTGCTCAATAAATGGAAACCCTTTATTCTTCTATATGATTTGGAGGTCTGTCACATACTATGGATAATAAGAATTCAGGATAAAGATGCCCAGGGTTTACATTTTGGTGCTTAGTAAATATAACCTCTAACTAGTGAATTGTGGGGAATTGAAAATAAAATTGCCAAATAAAGGGTAAAATAACAAGGTTAAACCTGTAGTTGAGTTTGGTATTTGGGTTTTACCACCAGAGCTATTCAGTTATAATAGAACTGTCAGAAATTACATTTAAGGCTAAAGTAGTTGATCCAGAGATTCAGGCCTTAAATTTTCCATAATAACTTATGAATTTCCATTGCATTACAGTATTTTATATAATGAGATTTGCAAAGATTCCTCATATGTCTATAAAGCAAAACTATTACTTGACCCCGACGTGATTTGAACACGCAACCTTCTGATCTGGAGTCAGACGCGCTACCGTTGCGCCACGAGGTCTTAACATACAGGACAGTGAGTACATGTAAGTAAGGTATAGTGGTCTTTAATTGAGCTGGATTAATGGGTTAGTATCTGCAATAGTATACAGTGTATAAACTATATTTATTACTGTCATCATGGTGATGTGTATGAAAGGTTGAGAGACAATGTAACTATTTATTGTATTTAATGTATTGTATTTACACCAGTTCAGTGTTATAGTACCGGTACCCAAAAATAATTGTAATAACCCATTAAGACAAAAATGATTTATTACTTTGCCATCATTAACATAATGTTTGTAAATGTAACGTGTCCTATAATATAGTGATAATTTAAAGCGTGTACAAAAAAAGGTTACAAGGTTGTGTCTGCTTTGAGATCAGTGATTTTCACACGTGAATCCGAAATATAATATAGAATTTGCAAATATATCAAATATTGACAAGGTTTCGCACTAAAGTTATAATTCAAAGTGAATTTAATGTGAATACCAAATTCCAGGCCAAAGTATCCGATACTCCATACTCCTTGGGGTTACCGTATTTATACACAAGATAAGAGGCACCTGAATATAGAGCTACCATATACTGTAACTAGAAAATTAGGAAATAAATGAAGAAATTAAACAGCCCGTACCATAACTACAGTAAACTTCAGCTGATGTATACTGGGGATGTATGCCAGCCAGTGTATGTATGTGTATGCCAGTGTATGTATGTATGTATACCATTGTGTGTATTTATGTATGTATGCCAGTGTATGTATGTATGTATGTATGTATGTATGTATGTATGTCATTGTATGTATGTCAGTGTATGTATGTATATATGTGTATACCAGTATGCATGTATGTCTGCATGTATATGTGTGTGTGTGTCAGTATCTCCCTATGCATGTGTGTATGTCTGTTTCAGTATTTGTATCTGTTAGTGTGTGTGTATTCCTGTGGCTGGGATTTGGAGGCGGGCCCTGTGGGCGGGCTTGAACGGGGGGCCCAGACCTTGAGCTGTGTTAGGGGCCCCAAAATTTCTGATGGCGGCCCTGTCTACCTGATTCTTACCTCTGGCCCGGGAGGGAGGACACTACATTCCCTGCTGGGACGGTGATACTTTAGAAGCTCCTACTTGCTCCTCTGCTGGGTTCAGACTGCGATGCCGGCATTGTGAAGCACTGGAGTGTTCTCTGACAGGCTGCGCTTGTGAGGGAGACTCGGCACAGGTGCAGACAGAGTCTCCAGGGCTCCCTCTCTACCTACAGGGGCCTATAATGGTCCAATGAGGAAGAACTGTGATCTTGCAGCCTATATCTATAGCAATACTTAATTTAGGGCACAGGCAGTTTTTAACCCCAGATTTACATATTACACAATAGCTGATCTGGAAGTTTTATTCAGTTCAGACATTATAGCCCTAAAGTTGAAATTCACTTAAAGGAACACTATAGTCACCTAAATTACTTTAGCTAAATGAAGCAGTTTTAGTGTATAGTTCATTCCCCTGCAATTTCACTGCTCAATTCACTGTCATTTAGGAGTTAAATCACTTTGTTTCTGTTTATGCAGCCATAGCCACCCCTCACCTGGCTATGATTGTCAGAGCCTGCATGAAAAAAAAAAAAACTGGTTTCACTTTCAAACAGATGTAATTTACCTTAAATAATTGTATCTCAATCTCTAAATTGAACTTTAATCACATACAGGAGGCTCTTGCAGGGTCTATCAAGCTATTAATATAGCAGGGGATAAGAAAATCTTAATTAAACAGAACTTGCAATAAAGAAAGCCTAAATAGGGCTCTCTTTACAGGAAGTGTTTATGGAAGGCTGTGCAAGTCACATGCAGGGGAGGTGTGACTAGGGTTCATAAACAAAGGGATTTAACTCCTAAATGGCAGAGGATTGAGCAGTGAGGCTGCAGGGGCATGTTCTATACACCAAAACTTCTTCATTACACTAAAGTTGTTCAGGTGACTATAGTGTCCCTTTAAAATTCCTGACAATAGTGTACATAATTAAAAAATATATATATATATATGACTCTGTAAAACTTCATTGAGTTATTTACATAAGTTTTGTGGAACTTCAGGAGTATTTGAGTATTTGTCTAAAAGGCAAAATAAATAACATGACCCCGACGTGATTTGAACACGCAACCTTCTGATCTGGAGTCAGACGCGCTACCGTTGCGCCACAAGGTCATATGATTATAACCTATACAAACAGGCTAAAATATACTTTTTTTCCTGGTATTAAGTTAACTATTTGCTAAGTGCATTGTATTGCATTTAGCCATGGTAATATACCAGTTAAATATAATGCTAGTGCATGGCCCTGTAACGAACGCTGGTATTTCGTATACCCGTTCGTTCATATGCTCCCGAACCCGCTAATTATAGCTCGCAGTCCGCTGATTTGTACATTCCCAAGAATCAAAGTGCAGCATGTTAGTAAATCCAGCGGTTCATCAGTCACATACCCAAACATCAGCCTAGACTAGATGAAGGGTACAACAGGAATACCTTTATTCAGGCCAGATAGCTGGCTTTTATGCAATTCAGGGATACAGTATACACACCCACAACACGCCCTGGAACACTCCCACCAAATGGTTATAAATTCCAGTGTCAGCATGACTAGGGAGTGGTAGAATATGGGATATTTGACTGAGAAGACTTTTGTGTGATTTGTGACTGAGAAATGGGTCTCCTGATGGGGTGACGGGGGGCGGGTGTAGTCTCCAATTTTCCCATTGCGCTCATTACATAGGTTGGATAGCATCTCAAAAGGGTCAGGCAGCATGGGGTACAACAGAACACATAACAGGAAAAAAAGATTAACAAAACAAAAGTATATACATTTCAATAAATGTGACAGCATTATGTTGAGACCGGCCATCAAGTGTACTCCTCCCACTGCACTGGGGGGGTATTACCGGTGGCAGATGTCTTGGAGGGGAGGGGGGTACAGGCCCAGGTTTGATGGTGGGGTCATACAGAAATTGGTTTGTCAGGTGGTGCATGCCCTCTGCTCGTGGCAGGGGAGTTAGCTGTTTTGACAGTAAAGCGAATCACACCGCGATCCGACCCAGGACCCTCCAGGGGGTAATTTCAGCTTTTGAACTTTGGTCCACTCCGTATTCACTGTTCTTGGGGAGGCAGGGGTGTCAGTGTCTTCTTCTCAACTTGTTCATGCCCTGGTCTGGGTCGTCCATTTTCATACAGGATCCATTCCGCCAGATTAATATTTTAGTGGGGAAGCCCCAACGGTAGGGCATCTTATGATTGCGGAGGCATTTTGTTATGTTGATAAAGTCCCTTCTTTGTGACATCGATAAATCAGCATACAGAGAGACCCCAGTGTAAGAGGGTGGCATCGCAGAAGCTTTCCTCTGTACTGTCAGTATGGCCTCCTTGGAGCTGAAGTAGTGAAGCCTTGTAACGATATCTCTGGGTACTTCTTGTGCCAGGTTTGGGGGTTTGGGCACTCTGTGCACCCTGTCTAGACGGAGATCAAGTCTGGTTGAATGGCTTGGAAGAGCTGTTGCAGGTATTCCGGGAGGTCTACATTTGAGACAGATTCAGGGACACCACGCATTCAGATGTTGTTTCGGCGTGAACGGTCCTCCAGATCCGCCAATTTGTCTGTGAGACACTTTTGCTCGCCTTTCAGTTTACGGACTTTCACTAGTATACCGTTGTTGGTAAGGCATAGGTCATCCTTTTTCTCCTCCAAGACGCTCATGCAGGTTCCCTCCTCGTGCACTTCTCTACGGATATCAGCAACCGGCGATTGGAAGTCTGGTTTCATAGAAGAACGGAGCTCATGGAGCATCCCCGAACGATCAGATTCAGTCAGGATTTTCCTTTTTAAGTTGCCAGCAGGGCCGGACTGGCACACCGGGATACCGGGAAATTTCCCGGTGGGCCTTCGGCACCTGGAGCCGGGCAGGCAGCTGGCTCACCTCCGGCCACAGAGGGAGCTGGCTATTCTGGCGGCCGCAGGGGGAGCCGGCTGTTCTGTCTCTGCTCCCCCTCCCCAGCGCACTACAAAGAGACCGGGGCCGGAATATGACGTCATACTCCGGCCCCGGTCTCATTAAGTGGCGCACTGGGGAGGGGGAGCAGAGACAGAACAGCCAGCTCCCCCTGCGGCTGCCATCAGAGCTCCCCACAGGTAGAAATTGTGTATCAGTGTGAGTGTGTGTGTCTCTGTGTCATGGTGTGTGTGTGTTTCTGTCTGTGTCATGGTGTGTGTCTGTCTGTCATGGTGTGTGTGTCTGTCTCTGTCTGTGTCACAGTCTGTCTGTGTCATGGTGTGTGCGTCTGTCTGTGTCATGGTGTGTGCGTCTGTCTGTGTCATGCAATGTGTGTCTGTGTCATGGTGTGTGTGTGTGTCATGTAATTTGTGTCTGTGTCACAGTCTGTCTGTATGTCATGGTGTGTGTGTCTGTCTGTGTCATGTAATGTAATGTGTGTCTGTCTGTGTCACGGTCTCTCTGTGTCGTGGTGTGTGTGTGTCTGTGTGTCATGGTGTGTGTGTCTGTCTGTGTTGTGTGTGTGTGTCTGTGTCACGGTCTGTCTGTGTTATGGTGTGTGTGTCTGTCATGGTGTGTGTGTGTCTGTCATGGTATGTGTGTGTGTCTGTCTGTGTCATGGTTTGTCTGTCTGTCATGATGTGTCTGTTTCTGTCTGTGTCACGGTGTGTGTGTGTCTGTGTCACTGTCTGTCTGTGTCATGGTGTGTGTCTGTCATGGTATGTGTGTGTGTGTATGTATGTTTTTACTCAACTTTTTTTCCCCCCACGTCATGCTGGTCTCCCCTCGACTGGCCCTGCCTCTTGATGATCTCAGCCAATCCGCACTGACACAGGAAGCACCTCTAGTGACCGTCTGAGTGTCTGTCACTAGGAAGCAATGTAAACACTGCCTTTTCTCTAAAAAGTCAGTGTTTACATTGAAAAGCCTGCAGAGGCAGTCTATAGACACCAGAGCCACTACATTAAGCTGTGTGTGTGTGTGTGTGTGCGCGCCTGCTAGTGAGTGGGCTTGTGTTTTTGTGTCAATGACCTTTTGAATATCAGTGAGATTGTTTGTCTATGAGGCTGTGTATCAATCAGCTTGTGTCAGTGAGATTGTCTGTGTCTGCATGTGAGTATGCTTACTGTATAATTAAAAATTTTACTCTGAAAGGACCAATATTTTATATTGGAAAAAGCAATATATATATATATATATATATATATATATATAAAAATCACAATAGTTTCTGGCACTCATCCCATAACAAAAGCATTAATTCAGCAATGACCAGGTGCCTCTCCGTGCAAAATATACAAATGGAACAAATTGAGAGCACTCATTGGATTTAGTAAACAAAAAAATATATTAAATCAAACGCATATAAATCAACGTTTCGACCGCTAGACGGTCGAAACGTTGATTTATATGCGTTTGATTTAATATATTTTTTTGTTTACTAAATCCAATGAGTGCTCTCAATTTGTTCCATTTATATATATATCTCATCTAGGGTGGCAAGACATAGCCTTACATATTACATGTGACAATATATGGCGCAATGACTTATGGGGCTGGCATAGATGTTTTTTCCAGGGCTGCTTTGGAATCCCCAGTCCGGCCCTGGTTGCCAAACATACAAGCAGTGACATCTGTTCACAGCTGGCCTCCGCAATGCACAAGAGAGGATTACAACTCCCAGCTGCTGAGACATCAACAGTATCAAGGCATCAATGTGTTTTTACAAATAACTGAAAGCTTACAAACACGTTAAAACAGGTAGAACATTTACTCAGTTTATTGTATGCTGTACAAAGTTTAGATCACAGGGCCACTTTTATTATATTTGAAACACCTCCTCACAAACTGAGTTTCAATGTATTTATTTATTTTTTTGCAGGGTTAGTATACCATTTGTCTAATTTTTTTTCATTTATATATTTATTTATTCTTGTATTTATTTAAATTATGAATGAATGCAGAATACATAGGTTTCCTGAATAGTTTGCTCTACATATAACAGACCATCTATACCTTTGATGCACTCCAGAAATTAAGCACTGTTCCCACTACATAGTGTTTAAGAAGAGACTCAAATTTCACAAATTGCTCACTCCAGATAAGGAGAATTTCATATCCCAATTACAGTGCATAATGTCCTGATTTTCGATATCAGCCACCACTGAGTGTCTAACAGTAAAGGAGAAGGTCATTGGTGACAACCTTCCAGGTTGAGAGAGTCTTTAATGGATGACTAGATAAAGTCCATCATAGCCACATACTAGAACCTGACCATTTGGTTCGAGTGTTATCCAATTTTGTATAAAACATTCTAGAGATAAAAAAAAAAAAACACCCAGTACCAGAGAACAAAAGTTGTCTCCAAGATTCCGTTTTGGATTGTTCATCCCAACAAGAAGTGACTTAACATGAAGGGATTCCAGAAAAGTTACTTCATCTTCTGCTTTTTAACAATATCCCTCTCTTTTTCTAGTTTTTTCCTCCTACTTTCTGGGATTTCATCGAGACTTATTCCATGATTACTGTTCCTGTAGACACATAAGAAGGAATAATAAAAATATGTAATATTGAATATGTGACATTTATTCTGGAACGCTAGTGCTATGGCCTGCTGGTGCCCTGTGTGAAAAATCTTCACAGCCCCCATCATCCATGTATGATGAAATGTTTGTGTTGTGTCTGTATGTGATAGTAGGTGTGATGACTGTGTGTGATATGAATGCTATGTGTTGGCTGTGTGTGATATTTGTAATGGGTGTATTAACAGTGTGTGATATGCCTGTATTGGTTGTATGTGATATTTGTGCTGGGTTTATTTGCTGTGTGTGATGGTTATTTAATTCAGATAAAAACATGCATTTAAGCCTGTGTGTGAATGCAGGTGTATATTTTTGCAGAGTTATGTGAACACAGTCAGATGCACACAGTTATACATATACACTGTCAAATCCACCACATGCACACAGTCGCAGGCAGATAGTCACATACACAGGGTCAGGCAGAAACACACAGGTACAGGCAGTAACACACATACACAGTTACAGGTAGATAAACACACTCACACATATACTTACATGCAGACAGCCACACACACAGAGTCAGATGGCCATATACACACAGGCAGACATGCACACACACAGACACAGGCAGACCAGCATATACACACACAGGCAGACAGTCATACACACACACACACACAGGCAGTCATAAACACAGACACACACACACAAAGGCAGACATACACACAGACACACACACAGGCAGACAGTCATACACACAGACACACACACAGGCAGACAGTCATACACGCAGGCAGACACACACAGACAGGCAGACAGTCATACACACAGGCAGGCAGACAGTCATACACACACACAGGCAGACAGTCATACACACACACAGGCAGACAGTCACACACACACACACAGGCAGACAATCATACACACACACACACAGGCATGCATACACACGCCACAGGCAGTCATACACACAGACACACACACACACACAAACACAGGCAGGCAGTCATACACACAGACACAGACACAGACACACAGGCAGACAATCATACACACAGACACAGACACACAGGCAGTCGTACACACACACAGGCAGGCAGTCATACACACACAGGCAGACAGTCATACACACAGACACACACAGGCAGGCAGTCACACAGGCAGGCAGACAGTCATACACACACACAGGCAGTCATACACACAGACACACACACACACACACACACACACAAAGGGAGACAGGTACACACACACAGGTAGACAATCATACACACAGACACACACAGGCAGTCCTACACACAGACACACACAGGCAGTCCTACACACAGACACACACACACAGGCAGGCAGTCATACACACACACACACACACACACAGGCAAGTAGTCATACACACAGACACACACACACACAGACAGGCAGTCATACACACAGACATTGCCACAGACACAGGCAGGCAGTCATACACACACACACACACACAGGCAGACAATCACACACACACACACACACACACACACAGGCAGTCATGCACACAGACACAGGCAGGCAGTCATACACACACACAGGCAGGCAGTCATACACACACACAGGCAGGCAGTCATACACAGAGACACACACACAGAGGCAGTCATACACACACACACACACACACACACAGGCAGTCATACACACACACACAGGCAGGCATCATACACACAGACAGGCAGTCATACACACAGACACACACACACACAGGCAGTCATACACACACAGGCAGGCAGTCATACACACAGACACACACAGGCAGGCAGTCATACACACAGACACACACAGGCAGACAGTCATACACACACACACACAGGCAGGCAGACAGTCATACACACACAGGCAGTCATACACACAGACACACACACACACACAAAGGGAGACAGTCATACACACACACACAGGCAGACACAGACAGGCAGGTAGTCATACACACAGACACACACACACAGGCAGGCAGTCATACACACACAGACACACACACACAGGCAGACAATCATACACACAGACACACACACACACAGGCAGACAATCATACACACAGACACACACACAGGCAGTCATACACACACAGGCAGGCAGTCATACACAGACACAGGCAGGCAGTCATACACAGAGACACACACACAGGCAGTCATACACATACACACAAACACACACACAGGCAGGCAGTCATACACACACACAGAGGCAGGCAGTCATACACACACACAGGCAGGCAGTCATACACACAGACACACACAGGCAGG